ATAGCATTAGGTAGGGAAGCATACCAAGACCAAAATCCCCAATTTTGATATCATTCCGAGCGTCAAAGAAAATATTGTTAGGTGTAAAATCCCGATGAATTATTCCTTGTCCATGGATATGAGCTAAGCCTTCCACAATTTGGCGAATTAAATGCCATGCAAAATCTTTGTCGAAGTGGTTATATGATTCAAAAACCTGGCGGAGAGTCCTTGAACATAATATGAACAAAAAAAGTAAGAAGAGAAGACAAGAAAGATCCAAAGCTTAGACTACAAAAAATAACAATATTATACAGATCGAGTTAAAATGTACTGATCCGCAATTTCATGAAAAAATCAGACATTTTGGATCATTTTAATCTAAGTTTTTCTTGGACCACTAATATATGTGATTGAGTAAGCGTGGGACACAGAGGAACTTAGAAATAACTCATAAATAACAATGTCAAAAATCAAATTAGTTGGTGAAAAAACAATGATCTTATATATGTGTTTCAACAGCTTAGTATATGGGTGGGGTGAAATAATGAGTTTAGATAGGGCTTTAAAATCTTTACCTGGGACAATATTCCATTTGAATATATAGATAAGTCGACTCAAGATTATTGTCCTGCTCAGGAATTTCAGTTGACACTGCACCTGAGTAGCTGAACATTGAACTCCCTGCAGTTTTTGATCCCCAATTTGCGCCAGCAAAAGGATCAACAACTCCTGTTTCGAACCAGGCCTATTTTCATGAAAATTATCTTTAACAAACAGAACATAGGCAAAAGGAATAGCACTAAGCAGCAGAAATTCAATGACAATGTACCAAATAGGTACACTTGGCTGGTATCCAATATAAAGATATCTCACTGAATGTAGTCATTATTCAGTAGAAAGTTCAGACGAGCAGAAAGGACATTTACCTGATAGTAACGTACAACATGCTGATGCTGCAAACGGGAAAGTGTTGCTACTTCTCTGAGTACCTCATAACGAGCACATGTAGAAACAGTTTTAGCATCATACTCTAAACCATCAGATATTATGTATCTTAGCCTCACCAGATACAGCCTATACTAGAGTTTTAAAGCCAAGGCCATAAAGCCTGGTTTGCAGCAAACACAGTTGCAAGTAAACAAAGTATACAGCACAGATATATACGCAGATGAAGAACATGTTAGTCCAGATCTCCACCACTTGCTAAAAGAGCATAGAGAATTTCCAAGGAGCCCTTGCCAGGTGGCATAACATTTAGCTAATATTAACACAGAAAACCACCCCACGATGGCACAGAGATCTTTAAATTGCTTAAGTATATATGTTGGTCTACTGAAATGTGAATGTACTCACTATGAACAGTTTCCTCACTTACCGAACTATCCGACTGTTGACAGGTATCTCTTTCTCCTTCAGTCGAATTTTCTTCACTGCATATTGTCTTCCATCCAGTTTATTTTTGCACAACACAACGTGGCCGAAACCACCTTGTCCTGCCATCATAGAGTTTCATCAGAGAGCAAGTAAGGAAACATACTTACTCTAAACAAAATTGCAGAACAAATAAAATGTTGAGAAAGTGGACGTAACTCTAGCAGAGACAACTTTCTGCAGAAGTACACATCTACATAACTAATGAGTAATGATTAACATCTTATAAACCCTTGAGCAAAGACACTACTGAATTTGATCAAGTTCACACAGGGAGTTCACATCATATCTTTCATATATATATATATATATATATATATCTACACCTTAAACTGGAAAGAGAGAGAGAGAGAAGCATAATGGAGAATGTACCAAGGGGTTTCAACTCTTCAAAATCATTGAGATATCGCGAGCTTGGGAGTGATGCATTTGGCTCGCCAGAATCAGAAGGTGGCTCCCAAAACTGAGGAACACTGGTTGAGACCTTAAAAGATAACATCAATCAGATGCATTACTAGAAACTCAAATAAGTAAATAATAACGATGAAGTGTGCCAAGGGATACGCACCATGTTTTGATTGAATGCATGTTCAAAGGTTCTATTAAAGTCTGGAGATGATTTCGAAGCTAAATCCAACGCTTCTTCAGACAATATCTGAAATGGTTTAACAAAAAATACTACTATGTAACATAGTTTTGGGGGATAAAATGAAGAAGCTTCCCTTGATATGTAGAAAAAGATACTGAAAATTTAAATTATCCAAAAGACTTACACCAAGCTGATGCAGTTCATCAGTTATCTGAGGTAATGCATCAGCCAAAGGTCCTCTGGAAGTGCAAGCTACTCGAAGTAAATGGACCATCAACAGGTCTTTCTTGCTAATCTGAGGCACTTGATCTTGAGATAAGGAATCAGAAGACCATGACCCCAGCGACTCACTTTCGGAGTTACTGCTGTCATCTTCAGCTGTATCATCTTGAAGATTTGATTCCTGCTAAGAGAAACAAGAATATGCAAGCAACAACAACATTCAGCAACCAAAAGTAGATGAATACTTGACAGGAGGTACATGACTCTTATTAATTAATTCTGATTTTGTTGGTCAGGATACGCTAGTTATCTTGAACTGTACTTATGATGACTATCTAACCAAAAGAAAACGTGCAGAGCTCCCCATTCACATAAATTCTAATTAGATTATATCTGGAGTAGTGTCATATGTGAAGGACGAGAGGCCAATATCTTAAAAAGGAAAAGAGGGATTGAGCTAAAACAGATAGACCTCCCCTCACCTTCTTCTCATTTTGGAATAATCCAGATTCCACATCGTCAGTAGATTTACTTGAGTCAAAAGAGGAGATGCTTGTATCATCAACATTATCCTCTTGAACAGTATTTAGTTTGGCAGTGGGAGCAGGCAGTGCAATTTCTTCTTTAGCATGGTCCACAAATCGCTTAAGATTCTTGTCCGACTTCTCATGCAAAATTCTTGAAGTGTCTAGTGGGTGAGATTGTACTGAAGATACGATTCCCCTATTTTCATCTGGAGTCAGACTCCAATTCCTTGCATCTTCCAAGCCACTAAATAGGTCTATAAAACCATACACAAAAGGTCCACCAGTACAGGATTTTGCTTTATTTGAAAGCATAGGTTGCTCAATGAACTGAGCGCTTCGATGTGCAGTCAAGCATGGAACCTACAGAAAGAAATAACAACACTGAATTTACAGGAAGAACGACCAATGCATATATATACGTGATGCAATAGATTTTCTTTTTACCAGCAGTTAACAAGACGGAAGGATACTGTTGTTCATACATTACCATGGCATAAACAGTCATTTGGGTGAATATACTTACAGGTTCCTCATCGTGACTTTCCGGAATGATTTCTGATAAAAACTCTTGGGCAGCCTCCACCAGGTTGAATATCATAACCCGACCTTCACGAGCATTGGAATTTGCCTGCATAGAATATAAGTTTTTGGAGTACCTTGTGTCAGCATAGAGCACTGTGTAAATACCATAGCGTATATCAGTATAAAAATTATTCCCATACCTGGTCCTCGAGAAGAGATAAAAGCTTCTCAGCATCAGCTGTTGTCAACCCTTGTTCTGGAGTAATCTGAAGCTTGGGGCACTTGTAAGGATATCCTGGTAAGCACCTAGAAGGACCAATTAGTTAGAAAGGGGTAATGAAAAGATGAACATGTAATTATTTCATTGATTCAGAAAGAAGATACTCACCTCACTACAAGCATAGCAGAGATGTCGATGTCCTCATATCCCATATCTTTCGAGTAGGGCCTGCTCGAATTACAAGGACCTTGGTGAATCAGACGCATTTCATGCACAAACAAGAAACATCACAAGAGCAAAACTTGAATGCAAACATATCGATCAGACGAAAACCTGAGCTTGATTACAATTTGCGGAGGGGAACGCGAATCTGAAACAATTTTGCAGTCCTCTTGAAATATTGCGGAGCTGAAAACATGGAAACAAAAACCGATCCTTCTTAGTTCTTACTATTAAAATTCATATACAGACTAATTCTTGTCCTGATTTCATAGATGTGAATCTTTAACAAAATTTAAAAAGAATTGCTATTGTTAAATCAAAAACTTAAACACAAATCTCCAAAAACCCTAAATCTCACATTGCCTAAATAACTCGTTTCACAAAAGCCGGACAAAATAAACAATTTAAACTTACAGAGCAGTGATCTCCTCAGATAAAAGTTCATTATCTTCATCAGCATTAGATCCATGGTCTTTCAGCTGACCCCTTCTTCCACTACCTCCTCGTTTCTTCTTTTTCTTCGAACTGCTGCGACCCATTTCCTCAGCCCAAAACACGCCCTAATCAATCTGATCTTTCAATCAATCAAACACCTTCTTCTCCTCCGATCGTCGAATCACCACTATATGCCAAAACCCCCTTCTCCGTCTCTCACAACTCCCGCCAAACAATTTCGATCTAAGAATTTCAAAAAAAAATGGCCGAGGTGATTGCCAGCACTAACAAAACCTCCGATTACTTTTCTCTATATTATTCCGGCGTGAGGAATTTTGAAAAAGGGCTCTCCAAAGGAATGTTTATATATCTGAGTCTCATAACCAAAATAAGCATTGACGGCTCTTCTCTTCAAAGATGGCGCCATCAGAGTTCTTCTATGTTGATCCTGTCCAGCAGCACAAAGCCTTCGAAACGTCGTCGTATTTGTATTCATACGCCCATGAACTTAAAGGCCCATTATAGCTTTTTGACTATTATTGACTGTTTTTTTTTTACCAGTATTTGACGGATATTAATTTTTTTAAAACAACAATAAAACTATTATTAAAACAATATAGTATGGTATATTTACGATTCAATCAATAAACGATAACGAGAGAAATGACGTAGACATAAAATCTATTATTAAAACAATATAGTATACATTAATATTCTTAGAAATTAGTGAAAAAAAAAACAAACATGAATTCCTAGAAATCTTATTTTTTCCAAATTAAAATGGAAATGAAAGTATTAGAGAAAAAGAGAATCAAACCTGACCCATAAGTGACCAATCAGAATCGACCCCGCTTAGTAGCTCCTGATTTTCCACACCTTATCTTTCTCTCTCACTCTCTCTTCTTCTTTAACCTCTCCAGCTTCACTCTCTATCTTCTTCCCCTGACGTGACTCTTCTCTCTCTTCTTCCTCCATCAATGGCGACCACAAACTCTCTCCACCACCACCACCACTCCTCTTCTTACACACACCACCGCCACAATCTCCATTCCCAATCTCACTTCGGACCAACTTCTCTTTCCCTCAAACAACCCACTTCCGCCGCAACATTCTCACTAATCTGCTCTGCTTCTTCCTCCTCCTCCTCCTCCTCCTCCGCCGCTGTCTCCGCCGTTTCAACCACAAACGCCTCCGCTACAACTGCCGAAACCGCGACAAAATTCGACGTTTTGGAGAACCACCTCGTCAATCAAAACTTCCGACAAGCCGACGAGGAGACAAGGAGATTACTCATTCAGATAGCCGGAGAAGCCGCCGTGAAACGTGGCTACGTTTTCTTCTCCGAGGTGAAAACAATCTCCACCGAAGATCTTCAAACCATCGACAATCTATGGACTAAACACAGCGATGGGAGATTCGGATACAGCGTGCAACGCAAAATCTGGTTAAAAGTGAAGAAAGATTTCACAAGATTCTTCGTTAAAGTTGAGTGGATGAAGCTTCTTGATACAGAGGTTGTTCAATACAATTACAGAGCGTTTCCTGACGAGTTCAAGTGGGAGCTTAACGATGAAACGCCTTTAGGACACTTACCGCTCACAAACGCTTTGAGAGGAACGCAGCTTCTGAAATGCGTTTTAAGCCATCCTGCGTTTGCGACAGCTGATGATAACAGTGGAGAAACAGAAGAAGAGCTTAACAGAGGTGTGGCTGTGGCTAAGGAACAGACAGGAGTAGGAGCAGACAAAAGAGTGTTTAAAACAAATTACAGCTTCTGATGTCTTTCTCCTTTTTTTATTTTATTAATTTTCTGATATTGTGAAAGTATAAACAAATCTCTGTAATCATATCATTAATTAAATTGGGTTTCTCTTCAATGTCAGTTTCAATTGTGATTATGGATGTATGAACAAAGTCAGATCATTAGTTAATGAATAAAAACCAAAACTCTTTCTTGGTTGATCAATGTGAAATTCAGCAGCGCAGATCTTAAGACCATGAAACTAATGTAGTGATTCTTTAGACAGATCAAATCTGAAACAATTTCGAATTCCCAGTTGTTCATAGAGGCCTTCTCTTGTGTTGTTGTTGTTGTTGTTGTCCTCATGGCTGATTTGGTGAAGAGAGATTATGGATGAATACAAAGTAGGGATTTTGGCCCTGTTCAAGAAAGCTGCAGCTCATATAATGAGCAATGTGTGACAAAGATCTAATGAATACGTTGCTGCCTCTGTAGCCTTGTAGTTAATTCTCAGTGTAGGCCACACACGTTACACTTGATGTAGACAGATGCTTTTTCTCTCATTCTGTGGTATTCAATGAATAAACGTTTTAGTCATCTTCATATGTAAAATACATAAAATCGTGCTTGTATTTATCAAGAATATGTTTTCTTTCACCATGAGACAATTACATGATCAGAGCAATCTAAAACTGCTACAAGAAGGCGGAAATTAGTATGTCATAAATCTTAATACTGACTAGTTTCTAGGCACATGGGCAGAGTCGTCTGGTGTGTTGGTGTGAACCGTCACATGAAAGCATTGATTGTGTCCGGGTATACAAACATGCGCCTGGATACTGCAAAGCAATAAAATAAACACACACATATGAAATCACTCAGTTTATGATCAAGATTCAAAAGTTGAGTCAGGAGAAGCCATGTAAATGAAATATTTCACTGAGGATTCAGGAACTTAAAGCGCGCATAAGAGAGAATAAAAGATGAAATACCAAATCTCTGGGTGCATCTTCGACAACTTCGGCAGGTTGGTCAGCCCCAGCACTTGCTAAACACGACCCTTTGCAGGTCATGTATCTTTTCATACTATGAAAACAAAGAAGAAGAGAAAGAACCATGTCAACACCAAATTGCCAGTTTTTTAATCTAGTATATATAAATCTCTGAAACATGACTTGATGGTTGGTTTAAGAGATTGACTCTGGTAATATAGTTGCTTAAGAAGAGACTTACACGTCACATTGGTTTAGAAGTGAGAGTTTATTCATCACACACAATTGTCCACGTGATTTGCAAACTGCATCGCATGAATCTCCTTGACTGTGAAACCAATCCAATAAAGAGTCTCAGAATATGGTCTCTACAAGAGCATATACAATTCAAACCGCTAGAGTAGTGGAGGGTGTTTTACCTTCCAACAATAACGTCAATGCCAAGAAGTCTTGTTTCAACTTGTGTAAGATTAGCACCTGTTTTCAATTATTTGATGCATATGATAGGGTTTTCGACATTTAAACAATATTTGAAAGAAAAAAAAGTAAGCTATTGAGGTTAACCTGAAGCATTTGATGTCAGAGAAAAACAATGGTGAAACTCGCTGTGGTAAGCATTTTCATGAACCTGGACGTTAAGGAAACAAAATATACATCTCACTCTTAAAAGCTATCCGTATTGATTATCCAGTTTCATTATACTTTCAAGAGCATTCCATCATTTTCAGATAAAACTTTACTTCCACACTACATTGCTCAACTTCATGACATAACCTCAAGAAGCTTGCCAAGACAAGAACAATTAATACCATTTGACCTGAAAACAAAAACAGTAAATCGCTTACCACACTCTCAGAATTATGGCGGCATCTCCCGGCACAAAAATCAAATACACTCTTGTAAGTCCCTGCTAAAGAGTAAAAAGTTGGCCATCTTGCAAATGCAGATACTTTTATGCGGTGATTTAAGAATGTTGCTGTAAAACGACAAGTTACCTGCTGTAGCCGGCTTTGCAACTTTTACCTTAACCACCTTCTCAAGAAGCGTCTGCAGAAGATAGATACTCATAAGCAAAAAATGATAAAACAAGAACAGAGAAAAATCTGAAGAAAAAAAAATGTGAAACAAAACCAAAGGTTCCATAGAATACCCGAGACGGGTTCAAGCAGCAAGAAACGCAAAATTCATAAGAGTTGCAGCATTGTGAAAGGAGGTTGCATCCACTTCAAGCCAACCACAAAACAAAGAAGTATGATTAAGAACACATTAGTTTAAACCAAACCCGATAATTCAGTGATCAAAGGCTATGATCCTCTCAAAATTGACTCACTGACAAGAGAATCTTTCTCCTTTCCATGGACAACAACGGGTTCGAGATTCCAATGACAGAACATCACACACATTGCCTGCAAATTGCAACAACAACCAATCATGGATACATTCTTTTTCACCAAATCTATGTGGAAAGAGATTAAAAATGTTCAAAAAGGTGAATCTTTCAAGAGTGAATTAGAGAGGAAATTGCTAACCTTCATCATCGGAGATCAAGTATCTTCCTTGGACAGTTGTTCTGCAACTCCGCTCTTCCAAAAATCCGATATCCTTCCTGCAAATTCAATCGATGTCTTAAAGTAAATGAATCAAGCGAGACAAAACAGGGATGCACAATTCATAGAAGCAATGGTTGTTACCCAGAATCAATCACCTAATTGCAGAAACTCTCAACGGAAACAAGAAACCCATGAGATGTAGAACAGCGAGGAACAGACTAAACCCAGATGTGGACATTCTTGTCGGAGAAAGAACAAATCTTTCGACCAAATCACGCTTCCGACTTCGAGCACTTCCAACTTTTTTTTTCCAAATTGATTGTTTTATGAATTATAATTGGGTCTTTTGCAAAAGTAGCCATTTTGGAAAAAGTAATTAAAGTCTAGTTTGTCCTTCTTATTTATTGTAGTCGGACGCGCGTGAAACCAATGTAGAAGAGAGTGACGTGGATGCATTTTTGTAGCCTAACAATTTTACTAGCACCTCAACTCAAAAATATTAATAAAGGAAAAGCTGAAGGAGGAATAAAATTGGCATATATGCATCATTTGTATCGTATTTTGGGACGTTGTGTACTTGTGGGGCTTCGCTTGCGTCAACAAAAGGCATCCGAGAGTGGTGATGATAAAGGAGAAGATTAGGGTTGTGGTGGGTTAGGTTTTGGCGATCGAATTAATGGTTAAAAGAGCTCCTTTGATCGTTTTGAGTAAAACGTTTTGTCTACATAGAACACATAAAATGAAATAGTACAGAACAAACACATTCTATTTTGAATTTCTATATCAAATTATTAAAAATCTTTCAATCATACTAAAACACACATATTATTTTGCTATTTCATATGGTTTCTACCAACAAAAATAAAATAGACTGATTTGTGTTCTATAATCTATATAATACAACAAAATCTAAGATAATAAGCCAAACAAACTTCACAAAATACATAAGTAATGTTTGCGTGGACTATACTATTTACGTTGTACTATATATACTTATATTGTACTATTTGTTTTGATTAAGTATCACTTACATTGTTAATAACTTAATATGTTTCTAGTTGGCGACAACACAAAGTTCTGGCGAGCTTAGAGGATGTAAAGGCATTAATTCGTACATAGAAGTGAGAGGATCTGTCCCAAGCCAAGTCCAATGAAGTCTTCTTCGTCTTATTTATCTCATTGAAATTGAAACCCATTACCATTGCAGAAGATGCTGAGATTCTCCTTGACGTGGAAAGGCAATTTTCTCGGTGAGTGTTCTATGTGATTTTGGAGAGCTTAACATGAAATTAGAGAGCTTGGCAATTTCAATAACTCAAGCTGAAGCACCAAACCCAAGAATACGAAGCTAACTTCTTATTATCTAACCGATTTACCAGGAACCCTCAAAGGAAAACGAAAAAAATGAGAAAGAGCAGGAGCTGGGAACCTGGGACTTGGGGAGAATAATGGAGGCGAGGAGAGAGATGAGCTGTGACGATAAAGAGCAGGAGAGACAGAGCTAGAGAAGCTAAGAAGAGACAAGGACGAGAAGCCATGAGCCGTAAATAGTGATGAACTCATTTCAGACCACAGATGCATCTTGATGTCAAAATTGGGGCCTCGATTTCGATTTCCCAGAGGAACACAAAAAAAGCAAAACCTAGAACCTAAAATGAACCTAAGGGACTGAAATCGAAAAACAAAAACAAGCAAAGAGGTCGACGCCAAACCTAAAAAGTCACGTCGGGACTTCACTCGGGAGAGAGAGAAGAGATGTGGTGTTACGCAGAAGAGAGAAGAGAGAAGAGAGAACAGAGAACAGAGAAGAGCGTGCAACTCCCACACAGGGCAAAATTGGGATTAATACAGAAAATATAGAGAATATTAACCTTCTTTTTTTTTGGTGTTACTTTCTTAATTATAGTTTTTTTTTGCGTTAGTTTTGCAAATTTCCCATTATAATATTTGTCGTTGAAATTGAATAAGAGAAATCCGCGAGCCAAACCAAAACCCGGTTTCGGTTTTGTTCTTCCGGTTATCGAGAAAGCAATGCGTTTAGTCAAAGTATGACTTTTGACTCTTTAGTAGTTTAGACTAAACTGTTTAGTTGTTTGTTGGTTCTGCAAAATCATTCTTGAGAAAGCTTCTTTGAATATCAGAAGGCAAAGGAAACAGAGAAATCGAGATTGTTTTGATACATAGAAACATGTTCATGTGATTCATAAACAGCAGTACATACGAAAAAGGAACTAAAAATCAAGTTTTTTTGCAAGTGTGATTTTGAGACGTCACATTGCTGCTACTGTAATCTTGCTCTTTCTCCATGCCCAATAATTAGCTCTTATAGGATCTACACGACCAAGAATGGTACACACCAAAATGGCCAAGTTATTATCTGGTTCTTCATTAGCTAGAGCTCTCACTGAGTCTTTATGCTCGTTGGTTGGTCTCAGTCCATCGCATAGAAGATCCAAAAGGGTGCTCAAAGCAAATCCATGGAAGCAATCCGTGCGGGATAAAACATTCAAACAGACTGAGGAAACACTTGAATCACTAATCCAGGATTCTTTGTCGTCTTTGTAAAGAGCTTTCAGGTATCGCCATGAGCTCTCGTTTGCAGGATTGGTTAAAATTGCTTTGATTGTGTAGCTTACTTCAGATTCTCTCATGGCTTCTAGGCCTCCCAAAAGAGGAGATCGAGTAATGACGTAATACCTCTGTAAGATTAAGGGAGTGAACTTATTCACAAAGGTGACTGAATTGCCAATTGATAGAGATTAGAGATACAGAATCTAGTGTGTGTATCAACGATCATGTTAACCTGATTCCAGGCGGAATTGTTAAAGACGTCAGCTTCAAGGAGCTCGTGACAGTAATCGAGCTCATCTTCCCATCCTCCTAATGCCCGTAGCGTCCACTGCAGATTGTTTCCCAACATTTCCCAACATCAAACAACAAGATATGTAATACCTCAAGTGAATGCTTTAACAAGGTTTGAGACAAACCTGCCTATGTGACCAAGCATGATAATGTTTGGCATCAAGTGAAAGTACTCTACGGGTAAATTCAAGTTCTCTCCCTGCAACATCAGGACCCAGTTTCTCTGCAACCCATCGCCGATGATGCCTAGAGAAAAGGAAAAAATAGAGCAGAAGCATGGATCATCACACTCACAACCAAGGTTTTTAACTTTGCATTAGCAGCAGATACGAGACACTATGAACTTAACAATGTGTAAAAGAACAAACTTTGATCTAAAATAAACAGAACATACTGGATCGGCATATACAAAACAGCCTCCAAACTTTGATGATTCCCACAAAAGCTAGAACTTTTTCATAGACTAAAACATAAAGCAAACATATACAGTTCTTGATTCAAAATTATTCATCAGTCAATTTTAACAGTATAAACACTAGCTACTCATAGACTTTCATGAGAGAAAAAGAGACAAAGGTATGAACTTTACCACAGTTGGTAGTTCTTAGAGTTATCCTCAGCAATGCGTTCGATGAACTCGAGTTCTTCAAACAAGTCGTGATTAAGGGCCTCGAGTACTAGGCGCCTGAAATGCCACACCTTCAAAGGTAAAAAAAATATCGTTAAGACTAAGAATTGAAGCAAGAAAGACCAATAAAAGACTAAAATCCATCAAATTTCAAAACCAAAAGAGTTCAGATAGTTATTGATTATATGAATTATAAGATTGATTACTGTGTAGTTGCCGGAGTTTAAGCGGAGCGTTTCTTCCGTGAGTCGTAGTGCGCGAGGAGATCGCTCGTCGGAAAAGTAAATCGCACGGAAGTAATCCATAGTCTCGCGGAACTCTTCCTTGTAGGCGATCGGCACCACCGGATTCGGGCCATCGTCCTGAGTCAACGGGACCACGTCTGCCCACTCCGACCGCTGGCTCAGTGGCACGGTCTCGTCGAAATCCATGTTCCTCGACTCCGATCCAAAGCCGAAGAATCAATGAGTGGTCATTTGATGTAGAATGGGCTTTAGCCCAAATCCCAATAAAAGCCCAAGCCCTATTAAATTTATATTTTCTCATTCCTATTTATTGGAGAACAATAATAGTATGAGCTAGACGGATACAAAATAGATAAATATTAAAATGAGCAAACAAAAATAAATAAAGACATGGATAGTTTTCTTGGTTGTGAGATCTTTATTCCGCAATGCTTCACTCAATTCCTTTTTCACATGTTCCATCAAAACCAACTCTTTCAAAGAATAATGATGTTAATAAGCTCAATCCTCGCTTACAAGTTACAAGTATTGGAGCTGGTCTAACTTTACCTTAAACTTCATTATTTCTCATTGTTTTATGAATTTTTCATTTTTAATTAGATTTCTAATTCAAAAAGGGTGTTAAAACTTCAAAACATATGCATTGGGTGTTACTAAATTATCGCAGGGTTCTTCTTATACTAGTTCGTTTGGTTTCTTTGGTTCAGAAAAAGTTTTGTACCAAATTAGAACCCTTGTTTTTAGTATTATTATTTAGCACAAAAGATATTCCGGTTTAGATTTGGTTTAGTTATCAGAGAAAATTTTCCGGTTATTTCAAAAAACAAAATCAACAAAAAAGAAAAGAAATATAGTATATTGATCACCCTCATTTTCATTTTCTGCAAAAAAAAAAAAAAAAGAGACTAATAACAATAATCAGAAATTGTAAGAAGATAAAAAAATAGAAACCGCAAGATTTCTTACTCGAATCTAATAGTATGAACTTTAATCTTGGTCAGACGCACTAAGGTCTCTCAGTATACAGTTTGGTCAATACTCAAGCGGTGGTGATTTACTTTTTATACAGTTTGGTCAATACTCAAGCGGTGGTGATTCATCTCTTCCTACAAGAGAAGAAGAAAACACTGAAACCGTCAAAATAAAGTAATATTTTATAAAATAAACAAACAAATTTAAGTATAAGATACTTACTTAGTTAATAACTTTGTTGGGCCCTATTCATTGATATGAGAGTGTGACGTGTTCTCTTTGTTGTTTTGGCACGGATTAGTGCAGCAATATGTGAAAATAAAACTCTAGTTAATGATTTGAGTACCAAATAAAAAAAAACAAAAAAAAATATTTTTACCTCATCTCTCAGCTTTCTAACCGATCTCATAATCTCTTCAACCTCTCTAGCTGTCTAGCATATAAAGCAGCCATCGCTCTAGCTCTTGCAGCCACTACGTTAGAAAGAAAACTTATTAATGTCAACAATATATAGATAATTATTATATATATATATATATATATATATATATATTACTGATATGATATAACAAATTCTTACCAATTTCGTTTCTGCTTTCGATCACACGTTGTTCTTGGAGAAGTCGTTTCTCTTCAACGATTGGATTGGATTGTGGCTCTTGTGGTAGGTTGGATTGTGGCTACCAAAGAATGATTGGATTGTGGCTCTTGTGGTAGGTTTGTTCTCTAGGTAAAAGACCACATGAAAGCTTAAATGTCCAGGTTTTACTAAATCTGGGTGGTTTCAAATTGAGTTTAACTATGAGAACCACTATTTGAATAAGTTTGGAAAGATTTTATAAGTTTGTTTAACGAGGAACTCTTCATTGTTTTACTTATAGAATCATCCATCTTAAGTTTAGTGTTGTTGATTAAGAATGATTGGATTGTGGCTCTTGTGGTAGGAGTTTTCTTATTGTATCCATAATTTTTCCTTAATCGTGTTTGGAGTTCTTGAATTGAAATCCTGTGAGAGGCCATTAGATACAGTTACAAGTTCCTGCTTTATCACCCGTGTCTTAGTGTAATTTGGAACCTGTTTTAGGGAGCCAAACCAGTGAATCCTCAGAAGGGAAGACTAAAGAGGGCTGATTACTAGAGTACTCCGTGTTTATATATATGCTTGAGTTGGGATTTTGAGCTGCTACACTCGGCGTTTATTCTGGATTTGTTTGGTTTTTGACGTTTGATTTCTGAAATTTGCAGATCAAGTTGAAAGGATGTTCGATTGGTTTCTAAAAAGACTTGGAAAGGGAAAAGACAAAGACAAGATAAGGAAGTCAGCTGTTGATAAAATTGAAGAAACCATAAGGGTTTTAGTGAGAAAAGAGAAAAAGTATGGGAGAAGACTTGCTTCAGTGATGCGGTCATCAACCCAAGAACCAACCACGGAGAAGATTATGGGCGAGAAAAAAATATTTTTACCTCATCTCTCAGCTTTCTAACCGATCTCATAATCTCTTCAACCTCTCTAGCTGTCTAGCATATAAAGCAGCCATCGCTCTAGCTCTTGCAGCCACTACGTTAGAAAGAAAACTTATTAATGTCAACAATATATAGATAATTATTATATATATATATATATATATATATATATATATATATATATATATATATATTAATGATATGATATTAACAAATTCTTACCAATTTCGTTTCTGCTTTCGGTCACACGTTGTTCTTGGAGAAGTCATTTCTCTTCAATGTCATCTTCATTCCTTTGTAGGTCAATGATCACATTCTCTGTTTTTGTCACAGCTTTATTGATACTTGCATTTCAATATGGCTTAACTATCTCACCATTAAAAATCTTTCAAATTTCTCTAAAGTTTGAAAGTAATCAATCTCGGAAATTGATATGGTAAGTAAAGAAAGATGAACTTGCTTTGCACATCATATTTTTTTTGTATATGTTGAAATTGATATGAAATAAATAACTTGCAAGTTCCGAGGTAAAACAAGTTTCGGATGAATTTCACGATCATCGACATTTCAACTTCCATCAATCAAGTCTAACCACAAGCAATTATTTTGTTTTAACCAAGAGTTAATATGTCTAGTATAACTAATTTCTTATCTCTTTTAGTCTCTTGCCAATAATATAACTAATTTAAGTTGAATTATAGTTAAAGTCACTAATGAAGTAAATGAGTAATGATTGTAGATTTTGTGATGATTAGTCAAATATTTGTATTTTTATTTTACTTTCCCTCTCAAAAGCTTAAACAAATTGTTTGTGGGCTTGTCTCATACTTATATAATAAATCTAAAATTGGACCAAAAAATTGTTTTCCTAACAAAAATATTCATTAAGCTATTTTTTGATATATCCCAAAGATCTGAATTGAATCCAAAAGGTAAAATAAAAAAATAAAAAATTTGAACTGAAGATTATTGCTTTTTCAAAATAAAATAACATAAATTGATTTTTTTTGAACGGAAGCTATAGGCCTAAGCCATCGATTTAATTTTGACTAGTCTTCTTTTAAATATCAAATATGCAAACTCAAATTAAAACTGAACCCAAAACTGGATTTTATTACTACTATCCCATAATGTTATTATCAACATTTTGTAGAAAAAGTATTTAAGAAATTTGTATCATTATAATCAGCCAAACTAAAAATATAATTGTTTTGCATCCTTGTGTGATTACATGAACATAGTAGATCAACAGAAGACAGAGCCTACCAAAAAAAGATCAACAGAAGACAGAACCAAACACAAAACAATCTAAACAAGATGGGCTCTTCCACATGAGACATTACCGCCAGATACACACAACCTAGAATATGAACAAGCAACGCAATCGTTCCACTGCATTTTTAATCACCAAAACTCTTTTTCCTCGTTGAACCTGTCAAATATTTAAACAGACTAGTGTAAGAGGTGGTAAAATCTCTGGAAATATGTAGATACGGTTGCCGTTTAAACGGTCAATTTCTTCAGATTTGCTATTACAAAACTAAATCTGAGAAAATATTACAATCTCTGTGAGAGAGAGACATTATGCTCAAGTACAGTAACCGACTAACATGCCATCATCACATGTACAAATGATCCAATATCATGACATGAACTTAAGAGTCAAAACCTGAATTGCTTATGTTACAAGAATTCAGGTTACAACCATAACATAACCTCTAGAAGATTCTCTAATATGCCATCAGATCCCAACAACCAGCTATTCTCAAAAAATCAAGTTCCACTATGAAAAGAGTGTTTAAAGATGATTCTATAAGTAAAACAATGAAGAGTTCCAAGGACAGACTTGATAGCAAATGTGAAGACAAAACTAGGGGAACCAGTAACTAATTTATTAGTTATACTAGAAAAAAATGTTTTTAATACCAGTATTATTTTATTTTCTTTTGCCAGAGGGGAATAAAGAAGAGAAGATCTATCTCCTAAAATCAATATGCTGAACAAGGAAATACCTGAGACAATAAAGGCTATAATTGGTTTTGTTGATGATCTCTCTGTTCCAGATTTCTTACATGCATTGTCTACTATGTGTTGGATTCTTTTAGGGAGGCTTTTGTAAGTAGCCGCTCTCTTTTTCTCTGCTGCATTAGTTCCTGGATTTTGTCGTGTTCCTTCTGCAAATGAGGAGAGCAAACTTTCAGAGTTCAAATCTTTTCTAGTACCATACATATGTAAGCAAACCCAAAATCAAACAGGCTCATGAATATGCCATATATAGCAATTAATCATGAACTAATATCCCCACAGAAATCTATTAACCGGCTAACCAAGAAACACTCATTTGGATTTTAACTCATGATGCAATCGCTAAGTTGTGAAAAAGCTTGGTGATCAATCATCAACCTCAGTTCCTGAAAAAAAAAAGGAATGTTGATCAACGGAAATAGCAACAACTGACCGTATATGGATCATTAATGCAACCTCTTTCAAACTCTCCCAAGTCCCAGGCATCAAAGAATGATTATGCTCCTTGACAAACTTTGCGATAATAAAAAAAATATGAAAAGCTGAGAACAGAGGAAAAATGCAAAATTCATGAGTTCAAGGAATCGTGGAATGCATAGAAATGCTCAGGAGAAATTTTAGGTTTTTCAAGAAACTTAAGTTTATATCCTTGCTAGTTTAATTTTTAATTTATGGTTTTATATAATTAAGTTAGATGGTTCATATTTAGTTATGAACACAAGCTGGTTAATAACTTCGTATTGTTCACTTCCCTCCTTTTTGGCTTCCTTGGGGCTCAAGCAAGGTAAAACCATAGAGTGTTGCCTTTTGCATTAGGCAATAAAATACCAAAGTACTCTACTCCTATGGAATCGGCCTTTTGAACTATTCAATGGTTTGTTTTGAATACTAATTGCTTTGTAAAAATAGAATCCACCACTTGTCAATATTGCCACATGTTTCTGATTTCAGTTTTCTATTTAAAGACCTAGAAACATACAACATTTTTGACGAGATACTAAATAATCAGAAAATGAAGATCAATCCATTGATGTTCATCGCCTTGATGGTACTCTTGACATCATTCCCCACTCCAACGCTCTCTTATTGCAAAGAGTCACTTTATTTATGTATACAACATATGAAAGATAGAGCCACGTGGCTGAAATGTTGTGATAGACTAATAGTAGCAGGACCATGTATGTGTAAGTATATTAAAGATCCTGTGCAAAAGAAAGATGCTTACCGTCTTATGGCTTCTTGTGGAAAGACTATTCCTATAAATCAGGATCTCAGGAAATATTACAAGTGTGGCTAAAAATAGTCAACCAACGAAAGCGATAAGCGGTCGTCAAGCCGAACCGGAGATACTTAAATAGATTAGTACTTATATCGAGTGTTTCCTTGTCTTCTTTTAATCGTTCAAGTTGTTGCTCGAATTGGCCTTGTTTATGTTTATGAACCATCTCTCCCACTTTCCACGTTTTTCTTGCTTTTTGGAATTCACTCTTTTAAATTCGCTCCTTTGTACTTGCTTCTATTTAAAGAAACAAAGAAGGTAGTCGACTTGTATTTAAAGAAACGAAAAAAAGGTAGTCTAAACTAGAGAAAACGGCATGTGCATACATCCTTGGGACTATTCTTCTGATTTCACTTCATAACTGTCACAAAACATGGCCAAGATCTTTTATCAAGAAGGAAAAAAGATGGTATCCAGAACTCTCAGACGTCCATTCTCGTGTTTGTGAGTTTAAGGGTGTGGTCCGCAACTCTCTCAAATGTATTTCTAACAAGTTTAGTTCACAAGAAATTATCGTCTTCCTTTATAACATTGTCGTTTGGAACTTCCTTGAACCCCAAAAAAAAAAGAGTTTAGTTTCCTAATTAGTTGATGATGTTAGGGTTTGAAAACTTACATGAGCAGTCAGCATAATCGGGAGAAAGATGGGAGTCTCGACCCTTCTTTATTCATATATGACTGGTAATCTATACCCTCCTTTAGTATATATATTAGGCGATGAGACCATGCGTCCGTTCCAAGTGAAGCTGTTGCGTGTTCTTGGTTATGGAGGAACTACTAAAGAGTTGGAACACTTGAAATTTTTTATTGGGGAGTCGGAATGCCGTGAAGTGGTACTAGTGGAGGCTGTGGTGGATGATTCCATGTATTGCAAACCAAAAGGGTACTATTGTTGACGCTTCTTGGATATTCAGTTTCATCCGAGTGCAAGATCTCATTTAGTTTATCAAATTATACTGTGTAACATGAAACTCACATATTGCAATTCATGTTGCATTGCTCTTGCAGTTGTTAGAGCCTCTTTTATTGCAGGGAGCTACTTCTATGTAACATTTGGCATTTGCATTTGGCAGTCTCTCCCTTAGATGTTAAACCAGTAACCTTACCTACCTCGTCAAACTCCACCTGGCATAAGATTTAACATTTCTACATATGAATACATCGTCCCTACAATACAATTTAACACGTCTTGCCACTCTTGCGGACTTTACACCACAAGAAAAAAAAAACAAAAAAAAGCTTTTGTACCTGTAAACCGAGTCCAAGTTCGATGTTTCTTGCTTCAGTTATCTCCTTGATTCTATCATTCATCGGTAAAGGGTATCCGAGGGTCTGCATAACTTTAGGTTTGCTGTCAAAATCCCATATGTTCCCTCTGAAACGATGCATTCCCAGTGGAACACAAGCTCTGAATAGCCTCGGGTGTGCGAATAAAGCATCTTCAGGAGGCTGAAACAACAGGAAAAATAAAGAAATCAGTCTTCTTAGATAGACCAAAGACGTAGACTGTGATTTTGTTATATCATGCAGTTTTATTTACCTTGTAAGTAGCAATATCTTGCCAACCTAGCTTTTTGCCTTCAAATTCAACAGAAACATAATCTACATCCTCGAGCTGTCTCCTGCTTCGAGGCTGACACTCATCAGCATCTGGATCCATCCCAAACACCTCAAAAAGTACACGATACACTTCCGGCATCCCATAGCATAGACAGATGGCACCAAACAAAGCCCAGAACACAGATCTAGCCATAACAAATTCACATGGATAAGTACTTGTCTCTTGTGAGATATTGAAATGCACAGACTCGTCAAGTTTTCATTCATTTAATTCAATCAAATGGTAAGCCCGACCTAGATAGTTAGCACCAGCTATCACAAAGACACACTACAAACAGATAAGACAGATCTCATCCAAGATGAGAAATCTTTGATCAGCTGTTATTGGCGTCATAACAACTCATGGTGAGATTTGAGAAATCTTTGATCAGCTGTTATTGGCGTCATAACAACTCATGGTGAGATTTGGGCTTATCTAAACACAGAATGTAATACACATAACAAGTTCTTGAGAGAATGGAACAACATCTACTAGTTCCAACTACAGCAAAAGCGGATATCAACCCATATCATTGTCTTAACTCGTTAAAACTAAATCTCAGCTCAAAGCAACCAAACTATAGACTAACACTCAAAGTGAAATCATCATCAAAGAAGAGAGAAGATTACTTAACCGGTGGCTAACGCTCTTTCCTAATCAACTTATCCATATCATCATAAGGAAAGATGAGATTTTGCAAGCTCGCTGCTTTAATCCATTTGGGGAGATACCTCTTCCCAATCAAAGCAAGCTCAAGCACATACTGACCCAGAAACCAAAGCCTCGAGTGCCCATTCTTCACATGCCTCGCACGTGCCCTATCACAAGACGGATGCTGGAACGCAAGATAGAGCAACGTATCAAAGTGTTTCGCCGGATTATCATCTCCTAAAATCTCTGAAGGCTCCAGAGAATACCCTAAAGCTTGTTTAACTTCAAGAAGATACTCATCGATCCATGTTTTATCAGCGTTGTTAAGCTTTGACGATGGAAGACAAGAAATGAGTAGAGGAAATGACTTGAGAGACAATTGTGGACTATTGAGGAATCTCTCAGCTAATTTCTTATCATCTAATGGTGGTCTTAAGATGAATCGTTTCGGAGGAACCTTTTTCTTCGGTCCTGTCGCTGTTTTACGCTTCCCAAGCTCCTTGAGGAGACGTTGAGGACTGTCTCGTGGAAGACCTTGAGTCTCCGCCGTCACGGAAGCGCAAATTCGGAGATTTTGGAATCTGGGTTTTGTGAGAATCGATTGGATTTTAGATGAGAACCGAGAAATTGAAGGTGAAAATGAGATTTCTGGTGCTGAAGATGAAGAAATGCGAAGGAGTGAAGATGATGAAGATGAAGAACAAAGCTCCATTGCTTCTTTCTCGAGAACACTTTTGCTCGCGCAAAAGACACGATTTTTGCAACAGTAGAAGAAAATGGTAACGAAGAAGATTGCAGAGTTCCATGGATAAGGTCATGGCGGGGAGGTTTTTTTTTTTCTGGATTAAGGTTTCAGTGGAATTATTCAGGCCCATATAAGCCCATTAAAAGGCCCAATAAGCTTAGATTATATATCACATTCGAAATCAAATATGCTCAAATTAATATTTGGATCTCTGTTACATTGGATACTTTATCTATAGCATGCATTCAAAATCAATATGTTTTTCGCTTTGATCTTTGTATTAATAGTATTGTAGGGTTTTCGAACATTCTCTTGGCTATTTTCGATTTTATTTCTCTTCCAAGTAGTAGTACCTCTGTCGTTTCCATTTTTGTTGTTACGGTCGCTGAGTTTTTTTTTGTTTGCGATGGGTTTACATTGGTTTTGAATTTAGAATTGATTTGAGTTCGGTTTACTTTGGTTTAGAAGAGAAAACCAAAAAAAATCAGACACGCGATGGGTTTTTGAGAATGAGGTGCGTGGACCAAAAAAGGCATGATTTCCCTTTAGAAATCGGAGACACGCGCTCAACGCGAGATGGGTGAGAGTGGCTGTGCGATCGCTCTATTGGTAAAAGTGGGGTATGAAGTGGAGCTCTCTCATTGGCTAAAAAACTAAAAATAGTAGACATATAGCTCCTCTCCTCCTCCTCTGATAAAATGTATGCTTGTTCTTCTTATAGACGAAATTTTGTCATTTTTATATTAGCCCCAGCTGAGAATGAAATTAAGATTTTCTTCAATCTCAAAGTTGTGTGTGTTTTTAGATACAATTGAAAAAAAACTAGAATCTGGATTTTGAGATACTAAAAATTTTACTCTTCATTTTGTTCTGCAACCATTTTTACAGGTTGGAGCTGATAACTGAAAACTTGATTCAAAGAATGGCAGCTGAAGAAATCAAACAAAGTGAGTTGAATATTTTCTAAACATGTGAAAATTGGTACAAGTTTGTCCTCATTCTGCTAGTTTCCTATGTTAATGTTTCTTGACTTTAGGAGATGAACTTTCAAGTGCAAGGATCTAGACCAAGAAACTTTAATACTTTGATCAGACTGGAACCAGTAAGGCTTGCGTGAGGTTCACAAGAAGGCTTATGTGAGTATGACGCTGGATTATGATACGTTTAATGGTGCAATCAAGACTGGAATCATCTTAAAAAGTAGTTCATGTTTCAGCCTTTTGTCATATAAATTAACTAGCAAGAGACATCCTTGTTGGTTCCAGTCTTCTAGACATCCCAACTTGTAAGAACATTCTTCTGTCAGCTTCTGTAATAACAATATATGAATTCTTTTGTTGAATAAAGAAAAAAAAATTGAACAATTGATTACACATAGACTTTACATAATCCAACTTTTATATGAAGCTACAATCAAGATTTAAAACATGAGAGATTCCATCTAATCTTCCTTCAACTTCAATCTTCATCTTCAACATCTTTCAATATCTCTCCACTTAAGATACACAAAGCCCAGCTCTGTAGTGCGTGAACGCACCAACAACCATCAGAACACTCCTCAACTGATGGCTATGTCCAGCTCTATTGAATTTCCCCTGCAATAATACATTTTTCATACAGAAAGCAGAAGTCATATGCAGCGAGCATAGGCCAATTTAATAGAAGTAAAAAAGAAACAGAACAACTATGATAATGGGAACTCATATGATATACAGTATAATCCCAATAAGTGGATATTTGTTAAGAAAAGTCTTAGAAGCCTCAAACTATAGTCATCAGGATATGCCTTTGGCCACTTTGGTGATAACTCATCCCAAGTCGATCCCTTCAGCATTCACCCAAGGCCAGGTTGGAAATAAATCTGATCGTAAAACACATCTGCAGATTATTTTAGTTAGCATGTGCTAGACATAATGAGATTTTGAAAGAACAAGCAAGAGAGGAAGCGAGGTAAACAAGAAGAAGAAGAATCTTACAGGGAGACATCATGTACAAACTGCTTCTGCCCATTATCATTCCATGATGAAGCTGCCATAATGGTTCTAGCTTCAGTAGGTAACATACTTATCCTTAAGCCTCAAAGTAATCAAAGAAGTATGGTTCTAGCTTCGATCAATTAGAATCCGGAAACGAGTTTTAAAGAAGATGATAGATTTTTGGAGGGGATAGATTTCGGTTTATTCTACTGGGTTTTGGTTTGGCATCGGTTCGGTACAGTAAACCACATAGAAACCACGGAATTCAAAATTTTGGGGACCAAGGTCTCGAGCTTTTGATTTGGGGGGAAACTGGAGTTTAACTTCTGATCTGTGTGGACTGCGGTCGAGGTCCGAATTCTGTGTAGTTGTGATACTATATAAAATTTCTTAGGGGGATACAGATCGTTTTCCCGAATTTTTATTATTTTACTTCTACCAAATATTAGCAATTAGAAAAGTAAAAAAATAATTGTTTATGATCAAATTTATACCACTGTTAAACAATATTAAAAATTTCACAATATTTTAACAATATTTATATATTTTATTATCAAATATTATCTAAAATTTATTAAAAACATTATTTTGTTTATTAAATATAAGTATATAGTAGTGATATAATATTATATTCCGCCATTACTCCAAATGTATATATCTAATCAACATACATTTATAAGTAATATTATTCCAAGAGAATAAGAAAACACTGAAACCATCCTATAATTTGGAGGACATTCGTCAATACTCAAGCGTGATCCATCTCTTCCCGCAAGAGAAGAAGAAAACACTGAAACCGTCAAAAAAATAATACTCCTTCTACTTCAAATTATAGGATGTTTTAGCTAAAATCATATTAGAAATTTAATTTTCATTTGTGTTACCAATCTGATGTGTATCAATACACACGTATTATATTCGTTCAACTCATATATATATAGTACGTGTATATTGATACATTCAACCTTCGCTTTATTAGTAGATTTGAGAGTGTTAAGTATCGTCTTTGTTGATTTGATATGAGAAATACTAAAAATCTGTGATAAAAAATGCAAGTTAAATTTGAATACCAAGAAAAGAAAATAAAAATAAAAACATGAAAGAATAAAATTATATATCACCTCTTCTCTTAGTATAGCAAGTGATCTCATTATCTTTTTTTTTTCTCTTGGTAGAAGTTTAACTAAAAGAAACATGTGAACGAAAACAAAAAAAACTTGTGGACTATAGTTACCGTAACCATCAATTCATTCGTTTATTGTCTCCCCTACACAAATGTCAAAAGCATAAGAGTTCAGCGAAGAAAACATAGATCTATTCAAAATTGAAAAATTCTAAAAACAGAACATACAAAAAACGAAAGTGAAATCGAGATTCAACGTAAATCAAAGTCGATGATATAGTGGAAAAATACCTCTCGCATGTAGAATTTAGGGTTTGGATTTATGACGAGAGAGCGAAGATGATTCAACGTAAATCTAGATTCAAAATTGAAAATGTCAAAAACAGAACATACAAAAAAGAATCTTAACTCGAGATTCAACGTAAATCAAAGTCGATGATGGTGGAAAAATAACTCTCGCATGTAGAATTTAGGGTTTTGGTTTACGACGAGAGAGTGTTAACCATCTATTCATTCGTTTATTGTCGCATGCCATTGCCACGTCATTACCGAAAGATTCACAGCCACTCTTACTAGAAACTAATTGGTCTGTCACTTTTTGCCACTACACATGTGACTCAAATTTGATAAGATAATTAGGTATATGTAATTGCAGCAATACATTTGAAAATTGATACAAAGAACCCACCTACATTAAAACCTAAAATTTGTTTACAAACCAAAATATTATTTAGCTATTTTTCAATCCAAAACATTAAAATCGAAAAGAATCAAAAGCTGAATTTTGGAAAATAAAAGTAAATAAATTAAAATATGAGCTGAACTTAAATCATATCAAGTGGATGATGATCAAAGTCAACATGAATTACTCTTCTTTTAAATTATCAAATGTGAAAACTCATATTAAAACTGAACCCTAAATCTTGGCCCATCAGTCAAAACCCTGGGACTGAATAAACCAATTTATATTTAAAAAAAAAAAAGAAGAGGAAAACACCTCAAAAAGTGGGAATTGCAAACAGTGTATTTATTAGTAATTTAGTATCACCAACACGTTACAAAAATATGTGATGTGAGGATAAATAATTAGGCACATTCTTAAGTAATTTAATTTATAAATAAAGTGTTGCTAATTTGTTTTTCCCCAAAAAGAAAACTATAGTAAATAAATGTGTTAAGGCTGTTTAGCAAATCTCTTAAAAATTCCGCAATTAATTAAGAAAACGTTGTTGTGAAATCAAAGCAAAAAAGAGAGAGAGAGGTCGTGTTAGATAATTAGAGCGCACTTGCGAACAACAACCAACGACGACCCACTGATTCTCCTCTCTGCATATTCCTTCGCATCTTTTCTGGTACCCAAGCTGAGTCTTTGGAGAGTTTCTAGATCTTGTTCAATTTCTGCTTTCAGGATTAGTGATTTTGATTATTCACTCTGGAGCTCGAGTTCTGGATCCGTGTGGCTGGAGGGAATGTTTTGTTAAGCTGATTGTTTAGGTCAATTCAGGTTAGTTTGATCGATCTGCTCACGAATTTGATGTTTTTTCATTGAACCGATAAGTCTTCTAATGGCGGCTTTAGATCTTAAGATCTATCTTCTTTTCGCTCATTGTTTCTATTAAATTGTGATTTTATTCAGCTACTGAGATCTGATTGTGGCTTTACATTTGGTGATTTGCCTTTTGCTCAAATTCCACTTAAAGTTGTTATCTTGTTGCGATTGTTAGTTGGAATGCGACTCACGAGTTGCTGTTGTTGTTTATCAGGCTTGTTGGCTCAGTCTAATAATTGTCATATTGAGAAAGACAAATGAAGAACGGTATTGCTGAGTGCAGTGTCTGTCATTCAAAATTGGTCTCTCCCGGTAGCAAAACTATTTCCAGGGCTTATGATGACCACAAGATTAGGGTTTCCTCAAAACAACGTGTCCTCAATGTCCTTTTGGTAGTAGGTGATTGCATGCTTGTTGGTCTCCAGGTAAATCATCTCCCTTCCATCAATTGAATCACGGAGGGAACCATATAATATTTGCGTTGTTCTTTTTCCTCTCAGCTCATCATTTGGTTGTGTAAATCACTTAAAAGTTTTGTACTTTTCCTTTTTCAGCCTGTCTTGGTGTATATGTCTAAGGTGGATGGGAAATTCAACTTCAGTCCTATTAGCGTCAACTTCTTGACAGAAATCGCAAAAGTTATTTTTGCGATCGTGATGCTTTTAATCCAGGTATGTTCTGAACTGACTTACAATCTCGATTCTTTTAGTGGGACATTTACTTATACTCTAGTATCTAGGACTAGTTGCTAGATTTTTCTAACTTCATTAGAAGGTGAGAAGTATTAGAAGTTCATGATGTTGATAAACCAGTAATGCGAATGTGAAAAGGATCCCACTTAGTTCTGTACGTAAAGACAATTTCTTGATTTTCGAATTATTACCTATTTCTTGAGTCTCTTGATTTTCTGTAAGAACCATGGATGGTCTATTAATACTTACGTGTTTGTGTTCAAATTGTAGGCCAGGCACCAAAAAGTTGGAGAGAAGCCTCTTCTATCCGTTTCCACATTTGTCCAGGTACCTCTTCTTTGTCAATTAGAGAGAGTGTAGTGTATTGCAAAGCTGCTGTACTAGATTAGTGGTATGGGAAAAAATGGGGGGAGAAAGAAAGGAAAGAGAATAATGCCTACGTTTAATCAGCTGAAGCTAGCTTCTTGAACTTTCATTGCCTGATGGCTTGTCATGTCATACAAACATGTCTCATCTATGTATCGCCTTTTTTTTTTCCTACTGTTCATAAAATTTTCTAGCTCCAGTAATTTGGTGATTCGAAGAGTTACATGTTGGTATGTCAATGCACGGTTGTTTGAAATTTGGAATTTACTGACCAGTAGATATATATATATATATATAGTTTTGAGTTTTCTTAGAACTATCTTTTTCTGCTGAACTTGAAACCTCTGAGTTCAGTGGCTTGACCACTTAGAATGCAGATTGCATTGACATGAGTCTTTTTTACAGGCAGCTCGAAATAATGTGCTTCTTGCTGTTCCAGCCCTGTTGTATGCAATTAATAACTATCTGAAGTTCACAATGCAGGTATAGCCACTTGTTATTTTTCATTTTGGTATCCTTAAGTCTATATTCAGAAGTTTTGGATCTGTGGCAAGAGCATGTCATGTGGTGTTCTATCTGATCCAATTTTGTTGATCTTATATTTTTCTTACTTCCCATCTTCCACGTCAGACATTACTTAAGTGATCCAAAACCAGATAATGGAATTACAATTTCGAAGGATAAGTTTACACACCTCTCAATTCCGCCATATCTTCTTCTTCCGGTGGTCATTGCGTTACCTGTCTCATGTTTCGTTTTGGTGATAGATATTTGAGTCGGCCAGCTGTTTACATCATAATTAGATTGTGCATTGCAGTGGGTTTATTTACTGTCCTTCTCGGCTTGTACTAATTGATTCTACCTTGCATTCTTTATGTATTTTCGTTTCATACGATAATGGAAGTTTCTGCTGTGCCAGCTATATTTTAATCCTGCTACTGTAAAGATGCTTAGCAACCTAAAGGTTCTGGTCATTGCTGTTCTATTAAAGATGGTAATGAAGCGGCGGTTTTCTATCATACAGGTCAGTTTCAGTTGTTCTTATTAGTTATATGTATGACCGGTTTTCAATAACAGAAAATATTATTGTGGAAGTTTTTGTCTAACATTCCTTTCATAGTTGAATCTTATTGGCCCAAACAATTTTGATTTTCCAATATAAATTCTTGGTTGAATTTTGTATGTTTTTATATTTATATATCTTAATCGTCTTATCCTTAATTTTGTTATAGTGGGAGGCACTTGCTCTGTTGCTGATAGGGATTAGTGTAAACCAACTACGTTCTCTTCCAGAAGGTGCTACAGCCATTGGAATTCCTCTTGCTACGGGTGCATACGTCTGTACCGTTATCTTTGTAAGTATATTTGCTCTTTTTGAAGATATATTAGTGGTTCCATTCACATAATCTGTGCTTCCCCGTTGATGCATTATGAAAAGGTTGTAATTCATGCTAGAGGCTAATCTGCAAATTTACATGCAGGTTACTGTCCCGTCAATGGCATCTGTCTTCAACGAGTATGCTCTAAAGAGTCAGTATGACACAAGCATCTATCTTCAGGTTAGATTGTTATGATGCGTTTTTCTCGTCTTGCGTGATATGCTGATTGCTGTGTGTTGTTAATGGAATGGAATTAGCCGCTTTTCAATTTTCTTAGTAAACCAGTTGCTCTTTAGAATCAAAGAACCTTGAGGTTGTTGACTCTTTGTTCTGTTCTCTTGTCTACTTGGCTCTGTTATCACTAATGTTCCTCATTTTAGGGTACATAGCTCATGTCTTGGTCACGTCAAATTCTAGAATCATGGTCTTCTACTTCTGCGTTGTCATCTCATAGAACATTTTTGTTTCTGTTGCAGAATTTATTTCTCTATGGTTATGGTGCGATATTCAACTTTCTTGGAATACTAGGAACTGTTATATATAAAGGTATGCACATTTTACTTTTATGTTGAAGCACCATAATAGCTTTTGAAAAACTGGCAAGGTAACCCTTAAAACTTCAGGATGCATTGCTGAGAAATTTATCATGATCTTGACAGGTCCTGGCAGCTTTGATATCCTACAAGGACATTCTAGGGCTACCATGTTTTTGATACTGAACAACGCAGCACAAGGGATTTTATCCTCCTTTTTCTTCAAATATGCAGGTAATACTGACTAAGCTTTGTTAGATTTATTTAATCTGTGAACTAGTTTGCTTGAGTCTAGATACTTTTTCAACATATCTGGAGATTTTTGGTTATATATAATCAATGGTATTGTTCTTATAGCAAGATTGTTATTTTGATATTTACCTGTCTTCATCTTTGATGCTTTTAGATACAATCTTGAAGAAATATTCATCGACAGTTGCCACAATATTTACGGGCATAGCATCTGCAGCGCTCTTTGGACATGTTATAACCATGAACTTTCTTCTTGGAATTTCTATCGTTTTCATTTCAATGCACCAGGTAAACACATATGAACCATTTCCTTGGTGACTCAATTTAACTTAACAGGATATATTCTGTCTAATATAGTTTTGTCTCATTTATACATAGTTCTTTTCACCACTTGCCAAAGTGAGAGACGAGCAACAACAGAATGGGAACCTAGAACTAGTCAATGCAAAGGATACTCACAGGTTAGTGTCACTATACATACTTATTTATCGTTTACAACGAAAAGTCGTGTAACAGATACAAGCGCAGTATTTACACCATTTAACTTCTTTTCCTTCTCTGTTATTTCTTCAGGGCTAATGACTCATTCATCAACATGGCCGCAGGAGCAAATGAAGAGGTGAAGAATAAATTTGTTAAGCCAGTTCTTGTTTTTGTACCAACTTAAGTCGACATTAACGTTTACTGTCTTCTTGTCTCTGTCTGTTCAGGCTAGTCACCGCGGTGAATCAGACGACAGAACCCCGCTGCTTCCCAGATGAAAGTTTCTTAAAAGTAGGTAACATGTTCTCTCTAAACTTCATCATATTACCTTTAAAGCTCTCAAAGATGATTATTTAGATAGATTCTTACCAAAGCAAGTTCTAGAAGCAAACCTAGGTTACAGAAAAGATGAATTACTTCAGTAGTACCTGAATGTAATTAGTATGGAGAATCATTAGCTTTGGCACTTGTCGCTGCAGGATTTTTGTTCTGAAGAATTCTTTTGGCCAAGAATATTCTAGAAATTGGGGGTTTTTCCAGTCGTATACTAGTAGAGGATACAGTGAAGCAAATTTCATGACACCAACTCTTACTTCTCTCAAGAGTCGGTTTTAAGTTCGATGAAGAACCTCTCAAGTCTGAAGCTGTATTGTTTTAAGATAGAGTGAGAACAAACTTGGTAAGTGATGATATATGTATTTTGGATATATAATATTTGTATTCTTTGGTTTTTGCAAAATATCAGGTCACTTTTTTGCTCTTGTTTATACAATTACTCTCACAGTTTATAAATATAAAAGCATAATTTTTCAGCCAGTGGATTTAGTTAAAGCGACCCGGTTCAAGAAGCATTGTCTTTTATCCAGTGTTTTGAATGATTCATTTCTCTGAAATCTGTTGAATCAATAACTGATGAAAATTCCTTTCAAGATTGTATATGAAAAAACTTATAATTAGTATTATGTTATGACAAGAAAGCATATAAAAGAAGAAAGAGCAAAAAGCCCAAAAAAAAACAAAACCAGATATAGAATAGATTGTTATAAGAAGAAAGAAACAGACTCCACCAAACATTTGAAAAGACACACCAAATCACTACTCATCACCTTAATAAAAACATATACATCCCAACTGAAGAAAAGCCTCAGACAAAAAGACTCTCTTTAAGAACACATTTATACGGTATGGCAACAATTGAAACAGAAACCAATCTTCCATTATCATTATGGCACAGAAGAATCAGGTTTCCTGGACTGGAACAGCTGCTGCTGTTGATGACCTCAACAATGGTTGAAGAGCTTTTACCACAATGCTCATGTTCGGCCTAAACTCTGATTCATACTGCACACACAACGCTGCTACTGCCGCGAGCTGAATCCAAAGAATAAGGAGAAAATGATTAGCTTCGAAAGTGGTTTCACAGGTTAGAGATTAAACTGTCAAAGCTTTTACCTTTGCAACAGCTTTAGGAGGATATTCTCCTTTCAGTTTTGGGTCAACACATTGCTTCACTTTGTCTTCACTTAGCCTCGGAGTAGCCTGGAGTTAGATGGCAAATGCCAAGAACAATCAGTAAATTTGAAAGTAAGACTATCCTCAGAGATTAACGAAACAAGGTTTTAGTACTTACCCAAGTGACAAGACTTTGCTGACCACGAGGCATCGTATGATCAACAGGTTTCCTACCAGTCAAGAGCTCCAATAACACGACACCAAAACTATAAACATCACTCTTCTGTGTCAGTTGACCAGTCATAGCATACCTGCAATAGCAAATTGTAAAGTTACAATCTTTACTTCCTCAAGAATACTGTGATCAATTGTTGTTTCAGAAGCATTCATTACTCTGGTGCATGGTAACCGAAGGTTCCCAAAACTCTGGTAGAATGAAGACGAGCAGCCATATCAGGAGATTGATTCGATAGATTAAAATCAGCGATCTTGGCTTTAAAGTCTTCAAAGAGAAGCACATTGCTAGATCGAATATCTCTGTGTATTACCGCAGGTTGAACTTTCTCATGTAAATACTCAAGTCCTCTAGCTGCATCAACTGCTATTCTGACCCGTTGGATCCAATCAAGCGTCGGACCTGGTTGTGCTCCTTGGACTCCTTTCCTCCCGTGTAAGATGTCGTGTAAAGATCCCATAGTGGCAAACTCATAAGCAAGAATGCGGAAGTTCCCTTCAACACAATAACCGAAGAGCTCAACAAAATTATCGTGCTTCAGCTTGGAAACCCTCGAGACCTGAGTCAAGAACTCAACATTTGATTCAGGTTCAGCTGAATTATCAAGCTTCTTCACCGCCACAGCTTTCCCATCTTTCAAGGTTGCATAGTAGGCTCTTCCGTAAGATCCTTCACCAATCAATGCCTTTGATCCAAAATTATCGGTCTTTTCTTTCAGCTCATCCAATGACAATGCAGGCACATCAATAGATGGAGGCTCCTTCAAAGCATCAGGCTTCACAGCTGCCTGTGGTTTTCTAGTGTGATGCCCTTCAATACAACAAAACAAAAATCGAAAAAAGATGAATATCCTTAAGAAAAACAACTGAATTTGCATACAATAAGATACTGTTACTAGCATCAGCTCATGGCCAGGAAATCACAAGAAACTATATAGAGGAAAGAGCAGTACCAAAATCATTGTGGTGCTTAGGGCTTCTGAGGTGTTCATTTTCAGAAGAATGGTAAGGTTCTTCAACGTGGCAAGCACAGCACAACCACCTACGCATCTTTTCTCTCTTGCCTATATAGAGATCGTCTACGGCTCTCGGTTTATCCAGTCTAACAAAGTGAGCTGGTGAACGATCGTTCGCCTGCAATGTCATTATCAGCATCATTATGAAACTAATTACTCTCAATCAACTCTCACAAAGAAACCTTTATTCATGTCATCCATCAATAACAGGGTAATTACAACATATACCAACAAATCAACACAGAGCCAAAGTAAGTGCCCTCAAATCAACAGCAACAATCTAATTAAGGATCAACGAATTCTAATCACATTAAGATTCCAAAAATGACATAACAATCTGGAGCTCACATTGATTCGAGATTCAGCCTAAAGTTAAGACCTTTACACAAACCCAATAAACGCTTAAAACACCCAATTTGGAAAATTAGAGACAGATTCGAAAAAAAGACAAAAGCTTTGAGGAGATCTTCTTATTCTTCTTACCACCAGACCACGACGATGATAGTCAGAATCCATCGGATACATAGTGAAAGACGGATCGAATGAATTTGGCAAAAAAAATGAGAAGGAAGATACGAAAGGGGTCGAGCTCGTGGAGAAATTTGGGAAACCCAAAGAACTCAAAACAACTCGAAACCCTTTGAAAGAGGCAAAAGATTTTAAAAACAGAGATAAAAGATGAAAACAGCTAAGAGAAGGTGTCAAAAGCAGAGAGATACAGAGAGGAAATGATCAAGAATAGACATTTTTATCCCAAATTTAGCGATTATAATAATAATTAAACAAGAGAATTTTTTTTACCTGTAAAGTATATCTCTTGTAATGAGTAATGAGTCTAAGCTAAGCTAAGGTCGGTTTTATTGTTGTGTGTGTTTATTTTGGTAAGACAGACGTGGGGAATTGAATTTTGTTTTTGACAGGAAAGCTTAGAGCGAAGACAGAGATGATATAGATAGAATGGAGGAGACAGAGAAGCAACGCGCTTAAGGAAATATCTTCAGATTTCGACAAAAGATTGTTATTTAATGCTTTTGTCTCTGTAGCTTTGCTTTATGTCAACATCATAAATTACGTTGGTCATGTATTTTTTTCTTCTTGACTAAAAAACATTCTCTTATGAGTTTTTTTTCCTTTTTTGCGCGTCTTTTACGTTTTTGACCTAATCTGGTCGGTTCCGTCGGCTTTGTATCAGTTTCTGTGAAATAAAAAGTGTTTTTAACTGATTTCAAGTTCAAAAAGGATAAAAAGGATGTTAAGAACGTTCTTGTAAAGTGTTTTTAAAGTAGTCCAAAACTACAACTGAATAAAAATTTAAAATGGGAAAAGTTGAAAGTCTGAATAAAACAGTTTTAATTGTATCGGATTTGTTATAATATGATTTGTTCATTCAAATTACAAAAGTCACAAACTCACAATTGTTTTGCGTTTTATATTTATTGAATAATTTTCAACATTGAACTACCGATTTTAAACACTTTAAACAAAACACATAAAAAAAAAATAGGGAGACTCACAAAAATGCCCCTTTTTCAATACCCCTTTTCAAAAATGCCCCCTTTGGCTGTCCATTTTAAAAAATACTCCTTTTTATGTACAAAATGACTAAATTACCCTTCTTTTAATAAATGATATCACAAATATATAAGGAAATATAACAAAATTAGGTCCACAAAATACAAAATATTTTTTGGCGGGAAAAGTGATCCCGCAATTTTTCCCGCCAAAACACTTGTAAAAACTTGTAAAACTTTTAAAATACCTTGTAAAATTTTCCCGTAAAAAATTTTCCCGCCAAAAATTTTTTTTTGCGGGAAAAGTGATTCCGCAATTTTTTTGGCGTTAAATTTTTGGCGGGAAAAATTTACAAGGTATTTTAAAGGTTTTTTACAGGGTATTTATAAGGTTTTACAATGTATTTTAAAAGGTCTTACAACGTATTTATAAGGTCTTATAAGATATTATAAGATTTACAAGCTATTTT